ATCAGTGTTCCGCAACCTTTTTCTACTTGCGGCACACCCATGACTCAACACGGCACACCAAAATGTTATTCCCCTCAAAAACGTATGATATGATACTATTAATAGAATTACATAATGCCACTAACCTATTATTATTGTTATTAAACAGATACCAACACCTGTGAGCAAATTTTCTTTACATATAATTTATTAGAATACATAAAAATGGGTAGCTTGTAATAAAGAATAAACAAACATCATCTTATTTCATCAGTGTTGCGGCAGAGAATGAAATACATACAAAAGATAACATAAGAAACACAACAACATACATACATAAGAACATACAACATACATACATAAGAAACACAACAACTGTGATAAAAATATATAAATAAAATTTGAAATTAACAGAATATGTAAAAGTTCACGTCACACCTGTCACCATGTGACGGCACATCAGTGTGCCGCGGCACACCGGTTGCGGAACACTGCTATAGGGGATAGAGCATGTCTGTAATCTGCAGTAAGTTTGCTAAGTATAGTTTGTATGTATTAGACTAATGTGGCTTTAAACTTTTGTGTAGTGTGAAAATTATTTATCAGCAACATATATCATTTATTACTGTATTATGGTTAACAACACTAATCTTAACTCCTTCAAGTGTAATTATTATAAGATAATTGCTGCTTTACTGCAATTAGTAACTTACTTAAAATGAAAATAAACTTAACTTTATACTTTCCTCAAGAAATCTGTTTTGATATTGGATTTACTGACATTCACCACCATAAACGTGATTTAACCCTGTCCATCTGATTTAGATGCAGGTTAATTTTCTTAACTATATATGTTCAATTTGGTGTGAATTTTCATGGGTGCAGCTTTGTCTTCGTCTTGAGATGGAAAACATTTGATGCCGGATAGTACACAACAACGATATCGACTAATTGACTAGTGAGCTATCGATTAGATTGGTATTTTTACAAATGCATGTATTTTCTTATCATGGCTTAAAGTTGCACTTTCCCACTTGATGCTATTTTCTCGATAGTTTTCCAGCTGAGAAAAAAAAAAAAAACAAAATTACTGACAAAATTTGACATTTTATTCAAAGGTTTTACAATGTCGACTGTGTGTTTCAATTTTTTTATCCTTTAATTTCCTCACATGTTGATATGGATTAGTAATGCATTTTTTCACTTACTCTTTTCCAGGGTTCACTTATTCTTTGCTTGTTTTCCCTATTATAATTTAAATTGTTTCTGATACATTTCAATATGGAGAAACCGTTTTATTTATTTTAATTATTATTTATTTTTTTATTTTATATAAAGAACCGATTCCTGTCTACAGAAAATAATTCGAGAAAAATTCGAATCTTGTACGGTGTTGACAATAGCCCACAGATTACATACAATTATTGATTCGGATAGAGTTTTGGTAAGATTCTTCTTTTGAATAATATAAAAATAAATACCTGTTAGACATTAATTAGACATTTTAAATTTCTAGGTATTAGATACAGGAAGAGTACAAGACTTTGACTCGCCGTATGCGTTACTGAAAAACGTAAATGGTATATTTTATAATTTAGTAAAGAAGACAGGAGTAACTTCAATGAATGAATTATACGAAATTGCCAAAGCTAAATATTACGCTAAAGAGAGGGTCGAGCAAACAAAACTATGAAACAGTGGATCTTATTTTATGCATAGACTGGGTGGATCCGTTGTTATGGATTTTTTATTTTGTTTAGTTTTTAGAGTGGTATTTCCGCACATCACATAACACATAAAATTGTAAAAATCTGAACATTTGTTAGTACCCGTATATGCAAGTTTCACAGTTCAATTTATACATGCTGATCTTTTATTGAGATGCCATCAGCAGTTTTTGAGATAATATAATGAGTAATGTTTACAATGATCTAATTTCAGGAAAGAAGAACATTTTATTGTATTAAACAACAGAAATAGATTTAACTGAAATAATTAAAACAAAAATTTTAAATGTGTAGGGTTTATTGCGAGCGGAATCTTCTGATTTCCGAAACTTTAGAGTGGAATCACTAGTTCGATTGCGTTTCCATTTAGGGTTAGGTTTACGCTACGTATCCAAGATGGCAGCGGGCGCCAATTCGGTCGATGCTTCCGGTCGCCATCTTGTTTTCGCATGCACATATGCAAACAAGATGGCGACTGTCGACAACAACCAAAACGCGTCTATATTTAAACTTTTTTTTTTTTTTTAATGTAAATTTTCTACTTACTTTTTCCCGTGCCTTTTGGTTTCATTTCCTACTTTTGGATCGGAGACGAAAAATAAAATTCACCATACTACCTGAAAACCATTGATAACCGGAGGTAGTGAATTACGAGATTGGATACATCAGTGGTTCGAACAGGATTTGCCTGGAGTGCAAGTATAAGTTTATGGGGAATTGCAGCCTCGCGCCTCACTTCGCTCGCCGCTTCGGCATACAAATATAACATCACCTAGGTCAGACATGGCCAACATACGGCCTGCGGGCCAGATCTCCATTACAAATCTCTTAAGTACAGCATAGAATGTTGATAAAGCATGATAATGTGAAAAATGTTTCTGTAATCTCTATATACAATTTAGTCTCTATCGGGTGACACCATAATGAGATCTCGCACCATCTCAAAATCTTCCTAGGGCAGCCTCTGGTTCGGCCCATGGAAAAAGTTTTCTTTCCAATTCGGCCCAGGGGCAAAAACTGTTCGCCACTCCTGGTCTACACCGTAACCGAACTCAAAATTTGCATAATTCCTCATATTGTTCGAGTGGAAATTTTTGAAGAAAGTTTGCATACGAAACTGTCAGTATGATAAGCGCTATCTACATTTCATTTGTAAACGCACGTGCCGTCGAGGTTACCGGATGGGCCGCTATCTTGGATACCTAGGGTAAATCTAACCAGATGTGATATATCTCTGAATTCAGTCTACAGCCTACTTCCAGGTGCTATGACGAGTCACTCCCCATAGCGCCTGGAAGTAGGCTGTAGGCTCTGTTAGGCCTATCGCGTGTTTAATTAACAGACAGTACAGCACGATGATCAGACGTTCTAATGATATTTATCGTGAAAGAATAAAGAAAAATCCGACGGCCGACCATTTGTGAGATATTTGCCGTCAAATGTCGAACCCACCGGCAGCAGTTCCGTTTGCCATCTTGCTTGTGGACGTCCATGCTTGCAAGACAGTGTTGAATGCTATGTTAAGTTTAAAGGAACTTTCCTAAATCTGTCTGTCGGAGCTGTCAGAAATATGAGAAAGTGAAATGCAACTTTTCAATTTTAATTAAACTTCAGGCTTGAGTTTGGATGGTTCTTATACTATAATACAAAAATGTCAAAGCAAAAGTGTTTAAGCATTACTAAAAAGCTGTGTTGCGGGAATTTGATAAATGCTAAAAAAGAGAGACATTGCAGCAAAATTTGGAATTCCTGTGAGTATATTATCAACCATAATAACAAATAGTCAATGAAGCAAGACCTACAGCAAAACGTGCTAGAACCTGTGTTTATGTCGATGTAGATGGGGCATTTTTAATGTTCTTAAATAAGTGTGAAGCATATTACGAAGAGAACACGTTTTAATTGTTCACTGTAACGAAAAATTACAAATCATTTTATGAAAATGTAATTAAAATAACTTGTATTTTAACAATTAAATGTAAACTTGCTTAAAATTAAAATTACGTTTGTATTCACTTAAAGTACATAAAATAGTATTTTAACGTAACTTTTTCGCTATTTTATTTACCAGAAAGTATGAATGCTGTATGTAATGAAATTTCCTTATAGCAAATTTCTTCAGGATTTAGCGACTTTGTCATATGGTAATTTCAGAATTTCTTGTATGTTTTGTTTATACTTATGGTATCTATTATTCATATAGTGATAAAGATTTTGAAGGGGGTGTTGAGTTTCGTTGGACGTCCAAAGATGGGAGAAGGTTACAGAACCTTGGACAAACTGGAACAAGAAGGGAAGGGGGGGGGTAAAAATTCTAAGTAAATTTTGTTCACCCTGTTTGAAGTTTAATAACGCTTGTTCTTATTGTCGAAGATTTCTGAAAGTTTGCAGGGAGGTTTCTGTATTAGGGGATTAACGCTATTAAATTTTGGTGGTTAAAGGGGAAAGAGTGTCATATCTCGAATAGGGTCACACTTAATGACAATTTTACTCGTTATCGACATTTCCAATTTTTTTATAACACCAAGCCTACCCTCAAAATTAATTTTTTTGCCATTTTATTATAATTAAAAGTATAAAAAGTTATTTTTAAGACAATATCGTAACAGATGGCGCCACAAATTGTTGCCAAGAAAGTTAATCAACTGGTTGCTGCATTTTTTCATTTTGAAGACGAAATTTAACATTCTTATTAAATATTTTCAAGTTGACTCTAACTCATTACTTCCAATTTAATATGCATTCTTACTTAATTCAAATGCAACTTTGACTTTATATGAAATAAGTTAAAGTCATTTATTTTCATCACTTTAAATATCAAAATAATTTTCCCGAGTAACTATACAAGTTTAAAATAATAACAATTTTAGGCAAACCTCGTAATTTTTTATGTTTAAGGTTTTACCATTCGTTTTGATATTTACTTTTAATTGTCATTCCAATTTTCTTTTTTCAAATTCGTTTGGAAATATGCAGTGACTGTCATTAAGCGAATTCAGAAAGAAATGTAATTAGAACTTTTAATTTTCTGATATTTATATAAATCTTATATTATTTCTTGTCTTTGAAAACGAAATAATAACATATTTATTTCACTTAATGATTCTAATTTAGAGTAGAAAAGTACAGAAACAAAATCGACGTAACAAATGGTCATGGAACATATCACATTTATTTCAATTTAAAATTTAGTTATAAGATTGAATATTTCAATTGATTGACCAAAAGATTGAATATTTCAATATCTTGATGGATTGTCTCTTCACTCCACTCCAGCACAGCGTTGAATTTGTTTGGCAGTGATTGTCCATTAATAGTTTTTCTGTGGTGTTTGCCAATTTTCTGATCATATATGGACATTCTCCATACATATTTCCATCATTAAACACGTGTCTTCCATCTCCATAGGCTGCCGTTTATGCCCAAACCATAACACTTCCTTCTCCATGTTTAAGGAAAAACATGTGCCAATAGATATTCTGTTCACAGTTCTACCAACAGAGCCAAGTTGTTAAATTTGCAGTCGACTGAAAATATTACAAGCTTGAACTACTCGTAATCTTTTATGTTTCATATTACAAGTAGTTAATCAATGTAAACTTTTACAATAACAAAATGTAGTTTTATTCCAGTTTAGACTTATTTTTTTACATACCATTTACATTCTGTATAGATATTTTTGGTATAGACATGATTTTAGAAGAATTTAAAAAATTCACTATTGACTCTTCACAAAAAATTTTAAATTACCAAAATATATTTTTTAAAAGTTCATTGGTATTTTATTAAATCTGCAAATATCAAATAATTTAAAAAGAGAATTTATATATATTAAAAGATTTAGCGTAGAGAATAGGAATTTTAATCACTGTACAATCAATATACATTGAATATGAGTTTTTCTGATATTTAAGGTCGTTTTATTTTATTTTTCTATTTAGCTAATTTTCAATCTGGAAATACGGAAAACAAACTAAAAATGAGAAGAACGAAATTCAATCTTGCAACAATGAAATCCATGATTCAGTCTTAACAATTTGAATTTTATACGTTCCAACGTTGTGATTTCCTCTTATGGAGAAGGGAGTTATGAGGGAGTATACTTAACACAATTCTTATAAAAAATCAATATTCTTTTTATCTGAATATAACATATTATACAACTTTGCATTTAACAATAGGAATAAATAAGAATATGAATTATACATTCTAATATTAAAAGTCATGTAAAATTAAATTTTATATAATTTATCTCACGTATGTTGTTATTACTTTCAGTTGTTCTTTGGATGAAACACAAGATTTAGAAGAAAATATTTTCCAAGATTAAAGAAAAACTTGAATATTAGAAATACTGCTTTACTTCAGTGCTCTTCATTTAAAAACATGAAAGAAGCAAAAGGTCTACTGCAACGATACAAAAAAGAAAATTCATTAAGATATAAAACACTTGAAAACTGTTTTTTACAGAAATTGTGTACTTTAAATATGTCGTGAATTGTGATTTAATATATTAGTGACTTTAAATATGTCGTGAACTGTGATTTAATATATTAGTGGCATAAAACATATACACTCGAACTTTATTATTTCTAAAATTAGTTTTTGTGTTTTGATGCAGAAATTTGTTTTTAGATATAAAAATTATTATTTGGTTAAATATTATTATTGATTTAATTATTGTTTTTATTTAAGAAAGNCGTGAACGCGACGAAAAAATTTTACTCGTCCTAAAACGATAAATAGTTTGTCAAATTTTTATTCATAATGCAGTTTCAACTGCTTTTTATTTTATAAAATCCGTCTTCTTGCGCCACCAGAGAGCCTTTTAAACAATAG